AAATGGTTTACTTATCCTGCCTGCTTCCCTGAGCTTGGAGGGGATTAATGAAACAATGAATTAATAAAACAGTGGGTGTTAAAATGTTTTTGTAAAGTCCATAGTGACAGCATATGGGAGAGGTGGCATATTTCCACCAAGGACATAAATGAGGAGATAGAGAAAGTCTCAGAACTTCAGGGAACACAAGAGGGACTGGACCCTAGATTGGGAGAGGGAAGCAATGATGGGATCAGTACCTTGGAGGGCCAAGGGACCAATGAGTGAAGGGTCAATGAGGACTGTACCAGAACTTCAGGAAGCTGAGTGTGGTAGGCATGTGGCTTCTTCAGGGTTTGGGGGGAGTTGAGTCCTCCCAAGACCACAGTAAATGAAATCTCAGAGATATGACCATCTGAAAGTCATATAGCAAGTTAGTTGCCAAGTTGGGACTGGAACTCAGGTTTTCTGGTTCCCAGTCCTATCTCTTAGCTTCCTAAACTGGCTCGGTGTACAGGAAAAAACACAGGGACAGAGTGAGATTTAAGGGTGTGATTTCATAGGCAAGAAGACCCCCTAAGCTAACACCTCCCCCAGCTGCCCAGTGATGCCTGAAATCCCTCCTTTACTGACTCACTTGAAGGACTTCAAGAGTCTCAAGGTTGGAGAAGTCACCTAGTTCACCTCCCTTGCAATCTCCCAAGGAAGGGTCTGCTGAACACTTTGGTGACAGAGCATTCTGCATCTGACCTGTTCCATGGAAGAAGGTTTTTTACTAGATCAAGTTGACATATCTGTCTTACTGTAGCTTCTACCACGTGTCCCAGTCACACTGCCTTTAGTCACACACACCCCAGTTCTCTGCCACAGGATAGCTCTTTGAACAACTGAGGACAGCTCCATGCTCCATTCCCCACTTTGATTTTCCAGACTGCATCTCCCATTGTTGGTTCTCCAGCATTCTTCCTCTCCACTTCCTGGGTCCTCTACTCTGTGTGTTCTCCATCTGGTCTTCTCCTGAAGTGTTATCTAACATCATGTAAACTATGCTGAGGACACAACCATCCGAACAAGTGGATCATTTCCTTCATCCCGGGTGCCATAGCTCCATCAATGCATCCTCAGATCACAGTGATTTTTCTGCATTCACCCTGTAGGCTCCCATTTAATATGTTGACTAAGACACCACAAGTTTACACACAACCTGTACTGAGCCCTGCCTTTGCCACGCCTCACACTCTAACCTCCTGTCATTTCTTTTAGAAACCTAAGGGCAGGGCCTCAGGCTCCTTGTCAGGAAAGTTCACCTTGTTACATTCAACACATAATTCTTAGCAGCACTCATCTTCCTGGAACTTGGTTCTCTATCCTCAGTGTATTCCTTCTCCCTCCCAGCTCCTGCCCCCTGCCTCTCCAAGTCACTAAGGATTCCTCCCCTGGCTCATTTGCTCCCTGGAATACATGAGCCCACC